GACATTAAATATATTAAAATGACAACAAAATGCATGGATCTAATAAAATACTGAATGATTAACATAGGCTGAAAAGAAAAATTTGTTTTATTTATTTATTTTATTCAATTATCTACAGTCATCTGCAATGCCCTCTGGGTTTCGTGAAGCATTACGGTTTACTGGGAGAACCAAATAAGAGGGACAGTTTAGTTAGCTGTGTACTCATCTAAACAATTACTGGAAGCGGAATGACTGATACTATTTGTTTCTTTTTTCTAAATGGTTTCAAGTAGCAGAATTTGTTCAAGCTTTTCTTTTTTCTTTTTTACTATCCCTTGTTTTCTCAAATCAGTTTTCTGTGTATATATAGCGCTATTCAAAACATGCATTGTTTCAAATGAGCTTAACAGACATCATGGTGTTTGTGTTTATAATGTCTGAATGCGTTATTGTCCACATTTAGCAGTTTAGATTTTGCAATTTGCCTGGCTTCAGCTAAGTGGCAACTACGTTTGTGTCACGGTACAGTAGAATTTGATTGTATGCACATTGCACAGCCTTCTTTGTCAAGACCTCAAAAGAAAGTGTTTCTTTCTTCCTCTTTGTTTTCTTCCCCTTGCTTTTAGTTTCTCTTTTGTATTTTCAGATAAATATCCGTTGCAGTCGGGAACGGGAACCCCACTTGCTGATTCAGGATTTCAATGGATTCTGTCTTTGACTGGTTGGTTCAACTTCTCTGTTGCAACCTAAAAGGGATACTCCACCCAAAAATGAAAATTCTGTTATCATTTACTCGCCCTCAAGTTGTTGCAAACCTCTATCAGTTTCTTTCTTCTGCTGAACACAAAGGAAGATATTTGAATGAATGGTTGGAAGTGGAACTTTGACACCATTGACTTCCATGGTATTTTTTTTTTTTTTTAGTCAATAGTGCCAAACATCTATTTGGTTCCATTCGTTCTTCAAAATATATATAATTTCATGTCATTTTTTTAAGCAATCGAGTCCTGGTGTCCACTACATATGAATAACATATGAATAAAATATATTTTTTTATTTGTTTCTTGTGCTCTTAACAATGTGATTTACATGAAGAAGAAGAAGAAAAAAACTTTTGAAAAAAAAAAAAAGTTCTTTAAAGATATGATAGGCTACAATAACAAGTGTGTCTTCTGAGCGACTGTTCACCATCAGGCTAAATATAGGCTCGTTTATAGCTACACAAAATGTGTAAATGTTATTGAAATAAACAGACAGCCCACATCCCCATTTTGCGGATTTTGGAAGATGTGTGATATCATTTGAAATTGTTGTCGTAAAGGCAAGAGCACACACACCGCTAATCCAAATGTAGATTTTTTTTTTTTTCTTTAAATGATACCGTCTCTTTCTCTCACACACACATATGTAGGCTAGTTATAAACTCTTTAGACTTTAATGATTAGTGCTTTATTTTTAAAGTTTGTGGGTAAGAATCGTGTAAAAAAAAATCCCTTATTTTGGGGATGTATTCTGTGAAATCTCCCTTATTTTCAATGTTGACAGCTATGGTCTGACTCTGGACTGATGTTCCCTTGGTAACCTTTATTTGTTCTTTGTCTGTTAGTCATCACCAGTTTGCTGTTGGTGGGGGTGGTGCTATGGTGGCAACGGTCTGAACTCTGTGCCTCTCGTTCTCTTTCTCTTCTTGGAGATGTGACTCTTAAAGAATCCCAGGATCCTCTTCTGTTATCCAAGCTACCTGTGGTACACGAGCATAAAGTAAATATTCATTCAAAATGGAATGACCATGAATTGTAATGAATGTATTGCAATTAATGGGCTGGACGATAAACAATATCATATTGACATCGCGATAAAATGTACGTCGACTCGATGACGATAAGCTGTAGACATTTTTTCTCAAAGTGGATTAATAATCTGACAGCCTATTACACCGCAGAAATAAACGTGACAACAGTTTGTCAGTGCATGTTTCTAATAAGTGATTTCTGCGTGTCTATATCCGCGAATGAACGGCACACGGTTTCGTCTGATCCACAAACTCACAAGTTCCACCCATTATGTAAGTAATAATGGTGATGTATGGAATATCATATTTTTTCATCCAGGTTTTTAATTTATACAATTCTGTTGTGACAAAAAAATGTTTTGTAATTTTTTTTTAAATTTGATAACATTTTAAAAGCTTGATTAAATTGTAAAATTTTACATAAATTTGTATTCAATCCTAACCCCACCACCCAGGTGGTGAATATCATGATAAATATTGTTCTAATATGATATGGAAAAAATGTTGTGATATTTTTAGCCATATCGCCCAACCCTAATTGTAATACTTCATCAGTGAATGGCTATTGTCTCCCTATTATTCAGTTATAATATGCAAAACACTGTTTTGCACTGTCACTCAATCTTATGTTGACAAAATGCAAAACACTGTTTTGCATATTGATTTCCCTGTTAAAATGATCAAATGCATCTGCATAGATAATATGTTGTTTGTGTGTTCAGGGTGGTACACAGAATGGTTCAACATGATGATGGTATTTTCCTGTAATGGGAGCTGCACACTTCCTGTGGTAGATATCACAGGACCCAGGCAGGAAGGTGGACTCCATCAGAACATCCTGTTGGTGACCCCAAAAATGTCAAAAATGTTGGTGACCCCAAAAAATTTCAAACGTCTGTTTATGGTTGATAATCATATAGAACACCAGTCAAACTCTATTTGAACTCATGTATGTAGCATGGAAAAAAATACACTATCATTACTGTATCAGACTTTTTAGTCCTTAAATTTAATTATGTGTGTATCGACCCAAAATATGACGGTGAGAGTATTCGGAGCTCCATGTCAATAATTACCCTATCATGTAGTGACACAACAGATCTGTGAGTTAGTACATGACGTTTAGTAGTTTTGAACTTGTTTTAAGATATTGTTCTGTTTAGTGTATACTGCTGTAATTTGTGAAGGGAATAATCTCCATTCACCATTTATGTTGACAATCTCTGTCTTGCCTTTGTCATGTCCGCATAGAGACAAAATCAGCTGATGCTGGAAATGCCTTAGATTATAGTTGTGTTATATTTATTATGTGAGAAGAAAAAAAGGAAATTCTATTTATTTTTTGGTTTTGGCTTTAAGTTGGTGTTAAAAACAGGTTTAGTTCTTCTGATTATATATAGTCTTGAGTTTGGAAAAAAAGGTGTTTTGAATGCTTTTAATGGTCATATGTTGGGCTTGGTGAAATAAATGATATGTGTTGTAAATTGTACTTTGAGCTATTGAATCCTTTCACATGCCCTTTAACAAGGCTAAGCTTTTTATGGTCAATCCTGGGGTCCAGTCCATAAGCAGTTACTTAATTTAAACAAAAATTAGAACAAATTGTAACGTTTTCAGGTTTGTTTTTACCTAACATTGTATAAAGTGACCATACAGAGATGGTTGAAATAAATTTGAATTAAAGAGGTAATATTTGCCAGATTTGTTGTCCCAATCTTTGCTCGGTTAGACACTGTGATCAAGCCACCCCAGTGGCTTAAGTTTAAGGCAGCTGTGCATGATGGGCAATATAGTCTTTACAATGAACAGATTTAAATGCATGCTGAAGTCATGTAAGAAGCAAGAATGTAAAATACACACACACACACACACACAGTCTATATGGGATCTAAGAAGCAGTTGTGAAGCCAGAAAAAGTTAACATTTTAAACAAAACAAAAAACAATTTAAAAATTGTGACAGTTGTTTTGTTCGTTGTAAAAGTTGTTTTAGATCATGTGTACATATATATATATATATATATACATTGTATATTTATATATCGAAATGTTAAACCAAAATGCTATGTTATGTCTGAATAATTTTAGTTTTGTTATCAGTCTGAACATTGTGAAATATGCCCCGAATCACTGCAAAGTCATGGTGAAATCAAAATAGAGAGAGAGATATTTTCTTCCGTATTGTGATGAGAATATGATTTTAACAGATTATCCAAAAAAAAAAAAAAAATTGTGGAGTGGGGATTTTTCTCTGCATTGTTGTGTATTGAATTTTAAGATGTGGCAGTTAAACTCAGAAATAAAGGCAGATGAATGCAAGTTTGCAGGGGTGGGGTTTAATTGCACCGAATGACTGGCAAACATCATCAGAGAGAAGTCATTTTCATAGTTTGCATATCCTACCACCACTCCAAAATGAGTATGTGAACAAACGTGTTAAAGTTTAGCAGAAAGTAATGAGATGTTACCATACAAAGGCAGCTTATTAAGTCTATACTGAAGAATCTCCTTTGATTTTCAATTTAAACGATTTCTGTTTCACTTGTGGGGCCTTTACGAGAGGGGTCTATCCTGTTGCACATCCTCTTTGTATGTCTTAACTTGCATTCCCTTTAGTACAATTTTTTTTCTCCTAGTTCCACATGTTCCTGAATCAACAGGATTTTTGTTCCTGGACTAATATTACGTGCTGAATTTACTGAAGTCACTTTATTGGAGTTTGTTTTACTGTCCTTGAGCAAATATATGTATTTTATTATTAGTGTTCAAAGTATTTTACACGCAAGAGGTGTACGTGATGCACAAAACAATCATGGTTTAAAGGAAATGCCTTTTTGCAAGGGTTTGACTACTCCTTGCTTTTTTATCCTACAGAAGACCTGGTGTGTGTGTGTGTGTGTGTATCTTGGAATCACAACTTGGAGTTTATATTTACACAACTTTATATTATATTGGCCTTTAAAATAATATAAAAAAATATTTGCAAAACAGTCAGAAATGTGTGCTGCTTTTTTAGTCTCAGAAATCAAATAATTTGTCAAAAAATATAGTTATGTTATATTAAACCGTTTTGCAAATAAATGTAGGCTAATGGGTATTTTTGGTTGGTTTTTTTTTTACAAGTGATTAGCCAGTGATCTGGCTACCTTGTTAGTCATCATGCTGTCTAGGTAGGCATCACACCAGGTTTTGAGACACATTCTTTCTTAATGATTTCACTATCCTCTAGAGACAGCAACATTACCACGCTTCGGTTCATTTCCTCGCTCGGAGGTGAGAGTTTGAGCTGTATATAGACTACAGGGTGGGGGTGGTTGTTGACTTGAACAAAATCTAAAATAGGCTTACTTAGACGATATCAGAAGAAGTTTACGATCAGGTAAGATAAATTTAGTTTCTGTCTACTTTAAATTATTTTGGTTTTCCGTTAGTCTGTTAGAAAACAAACCTAATGCGATGGAAATATAATAACAGTAGCCTATATTGTCTTTTTTATAGGTAGATGGTATGTTTCTCTTATTTAGGCTTTTGTGTGTCAAATTGAACGAAACAGTTTTGTGAATGAGAGGGGGAAACTACGGTCTTAGCCGTCTTAGAACAGATGTGTCAAATTTTACACTACATGTGTTAAAAAGTACATTAAATTTTAACACATGTGCTGAATCAGCTCAGGGACAACACATTTTGTGTAAGATTTGACACATCTGTTCTAAGTAACATTAATAGACCAAATAATAATTATAATAACGTTTTGATAGAATCCGGACACTGTGCAACAACTTTGGTTTTTTTAAAACTTCCTCCTTTACGATTTAGCCTAACTTGTAATCCATTGCTTCTCAAATTCTTCGTGCTGTTTTTAATGTGTTGCCTAAACAGTTAAGAAATGTGTTTAGCTACCCTAAAATGAAAATTCTAGAAGAAAGCTTAATCATTATTTACAGTTAGCTGGGAGATAGGAGTTTCATTTAAAATGCATTTCAGTGCAAATGATGTAAGGGTTAATGCCCGACGAGGTGTCCGTTGTCAGGTTTTAATGGACGACGGCGAGGCGTAAACCGGCCGACGCGCAGCGGAGGACGGTTGCCTCCGCCGAAGTCCATTAAAACCTGACAATGGACACCTCGGAGGGCATTAACCCGCTTATACCATGGTCACTTGCCAAATAAAACATTTTTAAAACATTAGTTTATATTTTAATTAGGCTAAATCTAGTTTTTACAAATAATAACTTGCCTTACCTGACTGTTTATTTATATTTAGCAACCGGAGATATTTATAGTCCGCTTAGCTCGTATCCCTTCAGGTTCACAAATGCATTTTTTTTTTCATGAAACACAAAGGTAGGCATAGTTTTTTTTTTTTATTACACATAAAACAATTAATCAAACAACAATAAAAAAAACAATTAGCTCTGAGCTCCAGCGATTTGCGCTTAACGTTATAGAGGGCAATAAATTAATCAGATCAAAGAGAGGGTCATTTGCCTCAGGCTCCTTAGGCTTGAAACGCTGTAACGTTGTCTTCTCCTGCCTTGGTTGTCTGGACAGCTGCGTAAAACTCCCGCAGGGTCTCATTCAGGGGTGCGTTTCCCGAAAGCATCGTTATCCAACTATGGTCGCAAGTTACGTCGTTACCAATAGAGTTCAATGGAGCAGAGGCTGAGCAGCAGCGGTGCTGCGGTGTAATTTTCTCCCTTTTATTTACATTTTTTCTTTCTTCAGCAGCATACCAGTCGTCAAAGTTGCCATAGTCTCCATAAATGTTAAAAGAAATAGCCCGAAGTCGCTCATTGTTGTATTAGGCTATAATATCGTTAGATGATAGAGCATGTGACTGCCTGTTGCTATGGTTACTCACAGCCGTTGTAGGCAGCGCATTTATTTATTAATTTCGAATGGTAAACAGGCAGTTTCACCAGAACTACTTTACTAGGTGTCCTCTATCACTTTTTAACGGACACCCTGCAGCCAATCAGAATCGAGTATTCACCCAGACCATGGTATAATGATTGATTAAAGTAGCCTATATTCAAATGCCTCAAAATTAAGCTATTTAAATGTAACCTGCCTATGCATGTACTTCAAAATGGAGTTTCCAGTTAAACAGAAGGAGAATGATGGATCTTCCAAATTTAGCCTACATAGCTCTCTGGAATGCGTTATTCTGATTTTCAAGTCTAGAAATTCAATGGGCGCACGGCGTTATTTCCGGTGAAGGATTAAGGATGCTCGATAACTTCCGCCGATCATAGAGTCCAATGCAATACCGAGAATTTATATTGAATTTTATACTCCATGGTTATACTAATGAAACGTTAGTCACAAAAACAGATAAAACAGACACCCCTCGTTGTGTTTATGCTTCTTTTTAAAATTATATTAAATAAACATAACTATATATAAAATTACATCTAAACGTATGTACGTTTCGTTTCAAAGACGGGAGGACAGTAAATATTGAAGACTCTGCCATAATCCCGTTTTCTCCGGTTTTCCTCCGCTTTAATCTACACAACCGGAAATGGACGAGCATCCTTACGTCAAATGCGGAACTTATGCGTGCATATAACCCATTCAATCAACATTATTAATCCCACAACCCAGACAGCAAACTGACATTGAATCAACGTGGAACGTCTCTCATGACATTGAAACAACGTTGATTTTGCTCATCGAATTAACGTTGAACCAACGTCAGACGCGGCATTCTTCAAAGCTAAATGAAAATCGAAAATTGGTTTGCTTTCATAACGTTGAAACAACGCGTTGATTTTCCGTTAGTTTTGAAAGAATGACGCGTCTGACGTTGGTTCAACGTTAATTCAATGAGCAAAACAATGTCAGATCAACGTTGTTTCGATGTCATAGTTCCACGTTGATTCAATGTCAGTTTGCTATCTGGGAAGGGGTGTAATGTCTGTTGATATTCCTTACAGGCATTTAGAATACTTAGAAGACAACGACAACGCGTGAGTTCTCTCTGTGTCCAGTTTATTCACAAGTTAACGAACAACGGACCAACCACTGCCCGTATATCTCTTCTTCGGCCCTCCATGATCCCCGCTAGAACACGGACACCTCTAGGTCACTCCCTGTCATTACATCTCCCCCTCAAAGATATTGCCCTTCTTAGTTAACATGAACTGTTATTATAAGCAATAAACACTTTCAGTATATTAACAATGTTTCTTATAAGACTCAACTGCACCATGTAGCTATAGCCTACAACAGTACATAACAACAATTCACTCACATTATTCACAACATACAAGCAGTCAATTTATGTGCACATTTAGAAACCCCAAAGAACCCTACACAGAGTTTAAAAGTTTGATCGCTGAAAGGATCAAAAGATTGGGGTGGCGGTTCATCTAGTCTAACAGGAAGTAACACTCAGAAGGCAACAAAGAAAATTTAACTGCCAAAGCTGCCTTCCCATTTGTTGATTATAGGAGACATTGAGGTCTCTCTGTTTCACACCGATGATTTTAGAACAGATTTTTGCAATGATGTTGTCCATTGTCCTGTAATGTTTGCTGGCCTGTAATGTGCCCTGTACAATTTTATTGTAAACTGAGGAGACGTTATAAAAAAGGAGACATTATTGTTCTCCATTGTGTTATTGTTTCCTTTTGTAGTGCAGTTTTATTGTTGAGTTTCAACATTCCTCAAACCAAAGGTTTGCATGCAACTTAATAAGAGACAGAGGATCAATCAACTCCAGTAATTTTGTTGCCAAGAATTTATGGACATTAAGGTGTGTTCTGAAATTCTGAAAACGTACTCGGTTACTAACGTAACCTCGCTTCTCTCTAGAAGAAAATTCATATGATTTAGAAAATGCATTAACGTTATCCCGTATGACATTTTGACTTGTGTCGTCAAATGATTCTCAGTTAAACCGCTTAAAATACATTGTTAAAAATGAGATTTTAGCAATAAGTAAAAAAAAACATCCCCATAAAGATAATAACTACTTTGATATACAGCTTTTGCGACTGGAATTTGACGATCCTGTTTTGTTAGTGCTGATGTAGGCTACCGCCCTCCTCACCTAGTGAAAGGTTTTATAAGTGAATTTACTGCTTTTATGTGTAACTAATTACAGCAAAAATCTTCTGCTAGGGGACTTTAATATTCATGTGTGCTGTCAGTCAAAGGCTCTAACAATGGAGTTTTTAAATCTCATTGACTCATTTAACATGGTTTAGTGGGTGAAAGATCCCACACATAGGCCTACTCAAGAACATACTTTGGACCTGATACTCTCTCATGGCATTTGCATTACTGATGTTCAGGTTTTTAACACTCTGATCGCTGATCATATATGCCTGTACTGTTTTCTATGTCCTTTCCTTCTACAAGATCGCACATTTCACCTAAACTGCACAATGGACTTGTTCCTTTTCTCCCTGTTGCCATGATGAATTCACTAACTCCTTTAATGAGGTGTGTCTTTCTCTGTCCCTGAGTCCTTACCTGACTTAGATGCTGAAGAACATCTTAGTCTGTTTAATACTATGTTCCAAGGGTTCAAATACCACTGCTCCTTTAACAGCTAAGAAGTCAAGATTGAAAAATGGCTCAATGATACCATCCACTCTCTGAGGCGAGCATGTAGAAGAGCAGAACGAAAATGTAAAAGTGATAAGCTACAAATTTCTTTAGAGATACTGAAAAATTCCCTTAGTGCTTTTCAGAAAGCTATGTTATGTGCTATGTTAAGTCTAAGTATTTTGCTAATTTAATTTTAGAAAACCATCAAAAGCCAAAAGTTCAAAAGCCTTATTTTCTGTTAAATTCTGCCCTAAATCCTCCTATAAATGTGATTATAAATCCCTCAGTATCATTATGTCAAGGTTTGTCAAGGTTTTTCTGTGAGAAGATCACCTCTCTAAGATCTCAGTTGCAACCATCTGCTAATGTCTCACCTGAACTGAGTTGTTCACCTGAATGGAGTGTCTTTGAACCAGTTTCCCTTCTGTCTCTCAGAGAAATTGTTGATCATTTATTTTAAAACGCCTTCGCTTCTCTCCCCGTATCTTGAAACAAACTTTTGATTCGACTGGAACATGTTTGGTGTCATTTCTGAACAAATTCTTCAGCACTGGGCCTATCCCTGATATTCTAAAACAAGCTGTTACACCTCTTCTCAAGAAAACTTCACTTGATTATCCGGATTTTAAAGGGGTGGTTAATTGTGATTTCACTTTTTCATTTTAAATAGTGTGTAATGCCCTGTTGGTGCATGAACAGTTGTCAGGTCTTCTGTGTTCGGGCTTCCCACAGATCCTGTAGTTCGTCAACAATGTCTAAAATTTATTTTTGATTATTTTCAAGATAGGACTGATTCTGGCTCAAACTGTTACGGTAGTTTTGACACCATTATTTACATTGACCGGAGCACATGCTACTTTCGCCCGTAAAGGTAATGGGCGTGAAGTTCCGGACAACGTGCACTACGCAGTTTAGCCACTCACAACACACCGGCCCAACTAACAAATCTGAGTCTATTGCCTGTTTCTGGGGAATGGTTTCATAGTCAACAGGTCGTTAAAATGAAATTTATGAAAAATAAGGCCTTTTAAACACAAACAAACACCAAGACATGTTATATTGCACCCCATAAACAGAATCATGCAAAAAAAAAAAAAAAAAACTCCAGTTTTTTTTTCTTAGCTCAAATCAAAAACTTTGCAGTCTGGTTTTAAGCATCTGCACAGCACAGACTAAGTCTGCTTTATTAAGGGTTTCTAATGATATACAGTTAGTGACTGATTCTGGTGACACTGTGATCCTAATACTGTTAGACTTAACCTTGGCCTTTGATACAGTTGACCATAAAACTTATCCCGACTAGAATGTTGTGGGCAATACATTCAGGGAACTGTACACAGTTGGTTTAGATCGTATCTAACAAATAAATGGTTTTCTGTCAAACTGGGTAATTTTTACTCATCGCCAGCCCAACTTTCCTGTGGAGTGCCACAGAGGTCTATTCTCGCACCCATTCTTTTTTCCATTCATTTACTTCCTCTGGGCTCCATTTTTAGAAAGTATGGTGGATCATTTCACTGCTATGCAAATGATACACAAATTTATTTGCCTCTTAAACGCAACAAAGATACTGCTCTGAAATCTCTCTTTGCATGCCTAGAAGTAAAAATGCGGTTTTCTCAAAATTTCTTATTTTTGAATGAATCCAAACCCGAAGTTATAGTCTTTGGTCCCCATGACAACCATAATAGCAGTAACATTGATCTGGATTATCTTTATCCAACTTCATCTTGCATTTGTCGCATCTTCATCTTGCAACAAATTTGGCACCAGGTCAGGAAGCAGACAGACTAGCTAAACCCCGTCAACAAGGTCAGATAAATCTCATCACATAGAGGCTCTTTCACCTAGATATCATATAGAGACTGTGTCTCTTCCCTGAATTTGGATGTCCAAAAAACGTCAGATTAAAAATGTAATTGATGTTCAACATATAAAAAACAGATATAATACAGATGAGCAAGTGATAAAGCTTGGGTTGCTTAATATTCAATCCCTTACTTCAAAATCGCTCATAGTTAATGATATGATTTCAGATTATAATCTAGATGTGCTGTGTTTGACAGAAACCTGGCTTAAAGCAAACGATTACATACTTTAAATGAGTCCACCCCGCAAGATTACAGTTATAAATATGAACCTCATCTGAAAGGCAAAGAGGGAGGTGTTGCTGTAATTTATAGTAATATCCTCAAAACCACTAAGAAATCTAGTTTCAAATATATTTCTTTTGAGGTATTGGTGCTTAGTGTAAAAATATAGTGTAAATGATAAATCACGTTTGAGAATTCTGCTGGCTACTGTATACAGGCCACCAGGGCACACTTGCAGACTTTCTATCAGAGTTAGTGCAGGCGGCAGATAAAGAACTACCATTCAAAATGAAAAATCTCTTTCAACAAAATATAAATTGTAATTATTTTCAATTCATGATATAATAAACGTTAATCCAACCCCCTTCAGTAGAAAACAAAAGTAGATATTTTATATACGCAATATATTATTCCAAACAACAACCAAAAAAAAAAACCTTTATAAAAATACACACTACACATTATATAATATGACAATAATGATAATATAGGCCTATATATCCAACCCCCAAATAAAACATTTTCTGAGTAAATGAAAGAATTTTAATTTGTTTCATTAATTAAGTTTCATGGACACACTTGAATTAATGTTTTGTTATTAGGTCTGAAAAATCCTTGTTGAGAGAACTTGTGTTTTATACTGTGAATTGTGTCTCTTTTCCTAAACAGGTGCGAAGATGAGAAAGAAAATCAAAGAGACAATAGCATTAATTCTCACAGGTGTTGTGTGTCTCTTCATTTTTATGAACAAAAACGACACTGAAGACGACACGATGTCAAATAGCATAGACACATATAAGATGCTCCGTCAACAAATCCATTTGCCCAGATCCGACATTTTCCAGCCGTTGTCTTCACCTTGTCAGCAGAATATGTCGGCTTATAAGGTGACTGGATTTTCTACTCTGCCGGGTCATATCCAAGATTTTTTGCTTTACAGACACTGTAGGAATTTTCCCATGCTGCTCGACCTGCCTAATAAGTGTGGTGGACCCCTGAACTCTGCAGATGTCTTCCTTCTGCTGGTCATCAAGAGTTCTCCAGAAAACTACGAGCGGCGAGAAGTCCTGCGGAAAACATGGGCTGAGGAACGACTGCACAAAGGTGTGTGGATCCGTAGAGTCTTCATAATCGGGACAACTAAAACTGGCTTTGAGAAGCGCAGGTTGAATAAGCTATTGAAGCTGGAGAACAATGAGAACAAGGACATTTTACAGTGGGACTTCAAAGATTCATTCTTTAACCTCACACTGAAGCAGGTCCTTTTCTTAGAGTGGATGGACAGATGGTGCCCACAGGCTAGATTTCTCTTTAACGGGGACGATGACGTCTTTGCCAATACGTTTAACATGATTGAGTATCTTCAAGGTCAAGAGGGCAATAATGGAAGTAAACATCTCTTTACCGGGCACCTCATCCAGAACGTAGGGCCTATTAGACACTCTGCAAGTAAATACTTTGTCCCGGTGCAGGTTCAGGAGTCCAAGAGGTATCCTCCTTACTGTGGTGGAGGAGGCTTTGTTCTCTCAGGATTCACAGCCAGAACAATCTACAAAATGTCTCACTCTATAATTTTACTGCCCATTGATGATGTTTACATGGGCATGTGTTTGGAAAAGGCTGGCCTTAAACCTACATCCCACTTTGGTGTAAGAACCGCTGGTCTGCATGTCCCTGCTGGGAACGTTGACAAATTTAACCCTTGCTTTTACAGAGAAGTCCTTTTAGTCCACAGATTTCTCCCACACATGATTTTTGTGATGTGGAATGAAATCCAAAACCCACATTTGCAATGTGGAAAGTCAAATCACACTCTTCAGGAAATCCTGTTAACAAAAGAGCGGGGTGTTTGATTCAATTAAAAAGGGAAACATAATAGCTTGCTAGAATTGATGTACAAGTTTGTTTTTAATAAATGAATTAACTTTTTTTCTACACCATGTTTTACCATGTAACTTATCGAGAAAATGATTTGGTATATTTTATTGCACTTTAAAGGAAATGAAAAGGGTGGTTGATTCCTTCTCAGCAGAAAACGTTGGGAGTCTTTATGGTTTTATTCTTTATTTTAAATAATTAGAGAGTGCTTATGGAGATAGAAGTCTATATCTTTCACTTTCTCAATTAATTTTATCAGGATAGTTATTTAAGTGTAATATGAAGTGGCATTCACTTGCACAAGTCTATGCATTAAATGATTGCTGCAAAAGCAAATTAAGGTTTTTAAACGACTGAATCTTTTAAGAATTACGGTGATGTACTGTAACAAAGTATACTTGCACATATCTTTTTGATTCACGAAATGAATGATTCAGATGGTTCATCGGAATTATTCCTTTCGTGAATCACATATTTGAATCGCAAGATACGTGAAAGTCATTATAAAGTGTTTGTTTAAGTAAGCTTTAATGTGTGTTTTTGAATTATAAATATGACATAAATTGTTTTGATTGTTTTTGACTTGTGATAAAGTTTGTTAGTGACAACTCTCCTGTTTTCTTTTAGAAATGTGTGTATTAATAAAAGGTGAATACCAACTTCAAAGGTCAAATATAGTTATAAAATACTGTACCGTGGTGGTATTGATGGATATTTATTCTCTTAAGTCCTATTTGCACAGGATAAGTATCTCATGGGGATTTAGAAATGTTTTATGATTTACAAATTAAATTATGATTTAGAAATTAAATTATGTTTTATGATTTAGAAATTTAATTAAAATGCTGTATCATTTGCATTTGTTCATGGTTGTATATATATATTGATGTATCTTTATTCTCTTAAGTCCTATTTGCACAGGATAAGTATCTCATTGGGATTTAGAAATGTTTTATGATTTAGAAATCCCCCCCACCCACCCACCCCCCTTCATTACAGACATGGCCAATTCCCACGGGATTAAGATTACAGACAACCTCAGGCACTGCAATTATTACAAATGACAAGAGGTCACTAGGTAATACTTATCCCGTGTGAATAGGACTTTAGTTTGCTTTGTTGTTTTATGCTCCAGAGATCCACTTATGTAGGACTCACTCACTCACTGAATCATTCAGAGCAGTTCACTTGAGTTTACTCTTACATAGGTTTCAGCAGCACCCCACCATTATCATCACCAGCTGTGCTGTTATTTATTAAATATTGTTTAGTACTGACAGTACCATTTCTATCAGTCATTTATATGTTGTTCAAGGAAACACAATAACATATAATTAGGCCAGATGAAAGCAAAACAAATAGCCTGTATGCAGTCACAGGGCCAAGCCCTTTCAAGGGTTTCATGAGTTGAAAAAAATAGCTAAAAATACTTTGGTTACTTTTTAAAGTTAAAAATTCTTAATTATTTAAATTCTTGACAGAGTATAAGTAAAATGGTTAAAGTCAAAATGGTTTAAACACACATTTAAAGGGATAGTTCACTTTGAAATTAATTTTTGATATGTTTTAGCTTACCTCAAGGGCATCCAAGATGTGGTTGTCTTTGTTTCCACAGCATTTTCAATTTTGACATTTTTTGGTCAAACCGTTCTTGTCTGTCAGTCCTATAATGCAGTTTTAGGGGGGTCCACCTCAAAGAGCATGCACAGAGAAGTCAAAATTAAACATGATTTAATGACTCGTGAATGTAAGTACACACTGATGGCCTAAGACCCGAAATGAGCGGTTTGTGTGAGAAAACGAACAGCATTTATATAGTTTTTACCTCTTGTTGCCGTCGAACTGATCTGAAAAGATGTCCAACTGAACCGAACCAATTGGCACTGGCTGGTTACTTCCGGGTTCTGGACTGGATGCAGTAACGCGTCTCTGTCCATGCGGGGGCGCTCGCGGCCGAGTGCAGAATGAATGGGAGTCAATGGGGTTTCACCAAGGGGGTAATCCATCGACCGGAAGTTGAAGCCGGTCACTTGCGTTAGCATTCCCATTGACTCCCATTCATTTTGGCATCACTTTTATAATTTTACATCTGAGGCGTTTGAAGACCCCATTTGTCCTTTATTTTTTTCTAAAGAAACACGACAATGTATAAATAGCTCCATTACCTTGTAGCTCATGTTATGGCCCAGTAGAAGCAGTTTTAGTGAAAGTAGGCTAACGATTGCGTCATACCAACACGACTCCTGTCGCACAGTAGAGAGATTACCGTATGGACATGAGAAGAAGCTCGCGCGCAATCGGGGAAACGTGGAGGCAAAATGACAAAATAACTAATCAGAATACCTAGCAGAATTGTCTCCTTCTCCTATAGCTCATGGACAGCTCCTATTCACACTCTCCGCCTCTGCAAGTTTCAGAAGGGAATGATTCAGATTTCTCATGCCACAGCACTAGAAGACAGACGGGTCACCCACGTCACATCTAGTCAAGCTCTGTTTGAGTCTGCGCTTCAGGAACGGAAGTGCAAAAAAATCGCCAAAAACGGGCTTCAATCGTCTCAATGGAGTTCCAATGAGATCGCTCTGTCCATTTCTTTTACTGTCTGTGTTTCACCCCCAGAAATCAACTTTTCTCAGGATGTAATTTGAAAGTTGCATTCAAAAGGGATGGCTAAGAAAATACACTCAGCTGAAAATTGCATTTTTAAGTTCACTTATCTGTTCTAAAAATCCGTTCAAAAATGTGATGACGTCACACAATAGCAGAATGCTAGCGTGTTCCGGCCAACAACAGCCTAACCTGTAAGAAATCAAAAGGACATAAGTACTCGTTCATTCGACTTTTGGCCTATAATCTATATTGAACTTGTGGAATCAACAATAAAATCTATTTTGATTTAACGACAAGCAGGTGAAAGAGACACATTTCTAGCCATTTAGCCTATAGACTCCCATTCATTCTGCACTCGCCTGCAATCACCTCCAGTGGAATTCTAATGGAACTGCAACCAAGGTGATGCACAATGGGGCTTATACGAAGGGCCAAGGCTCTCCGTTAGACGGGCTCTGACCGAACTGAACCGTTGTGGTGAAGAGATGAGTCCCCCTGAAGAGATGAGTCCCACCTTAGGACCCAAGCGATCCGATTGGTTCAAAGCTAGTTTTATGGGTAATCGCTTTAGTGCCTGGTTACAAATCACTTTATTAAAAGAGACGTTTGAAGTACGTTATAACGAGTCATTACTGTATTTAACTTATATGTTTCATATACTAGTATATAATCGAAGCTGTAGATTGTACATTTAAACATTTCTCGTTCTTAGTGTTTTTAGTTAGCTAAGCTTAGTAGCATAGCATTTATCCGATGATTCGTGCTAGCTGAGATTTACCGCAGCTTATACTGCCTTACCGTATCACTGTTTTTGTCTTAATAATCAGTGCGATGTTGATCATTTGAATTGTTTGTCTAGCCTTGATTACAGGACAGTGTAATAAAAATTTGTGAATCACAAATCGTAATGTAATCATTATCAAACTTTATTCATAAAATAATTTTATTTTTTATCCTGATTAATCAAAGAAATAGCATTTTCACGTATGTTTTGCAACGTTAAGTTATTTGTTATTAAACAATAAGGCATAATAATTTTTTTTAAATTACATTCATGTCATTTTGTGTTCTAATTCATATAATATGAATTGTTTGTCTAGCCTTGATTACAGGACAGTGTAATAAAAATTACTGAATCACAAATCGTATAATGTAATCATTATCAAACTTTATTCATATCATAATTTTATTTTTTATCCTGATTAATGAAATAAATTGCATTTTCAGGTATGTTTTGCAACGTTAAGTTATTTGTTATTTAATAACATTTTAAAAAATTACATTCATGTCATTTTGTGTTCTAATTCATATGATTTGTCATAATTATTTCTTAAAACAGAACATCATACAATACAATAGCATTCAATGCAATAAAATTAGTGAACCAAAACTTACAGGCTATAAAAATGACATCTGATTAAATTACACAATACAATACTAAATTATTTCAACTGAATTATGAGATGTAATGGATTATACTTTTATTAACACAGAACTACAAGCAAAATGAACATTTACATGGACATTTATAGAGCTTTTTAAAATGCACAACAATACAAAACAGCTTTAAACAGACTATAGGAAACTTTCATTTCCCAAATACTTTTGTGATAATCCTTCTGGCTATACAGTGTGAAGATCTAATGAAAATATCTTCATAGCTGTGTTAACAATGTTGAATGAACTGTAAGGTTAAATATTTTGAGAGACAGTGTTTTTTTTTTAGGTCCATCCTGGATTAACCAATTAGACTCAAATAGATGCAGTGTGTGTCTTTTGCTGTATATAAAGTTAAATCTGTAATTGATTCATTGTATGTGCAGTCAATTTTTTTTCTTGAGGCCTCGATGATGCAGTCAGGTCATGAGACGTGGAGGCTGAGGAACTCTGAAAAACACACAAACATGGCTGTAACACATGTCCAACATTATTTAGTAAACACAGCAAGAGAAAGTATCCTGTCAATTGTATCTTAACCAGGGGTGTTACTGGACCCCTGTGAAAGAGCAGTATATTGTCCATGATGAAGTGCATACTTGTTTCCCAACCCTGTTCCTGGCGGCACACCAACACTGCGCGTATTCTTTGTCTCCTCAATCAAACACACCTGATTCAACTCATCAGCTCATTAACCCATCTGATTATGAGCTGATGAGTTGTATCAGGTGTGTTTGATAAGGGAGACAAAGAATACGCGCATTGTTGGTGTGCCGCCAGGAACAGGGTTGGGAAACACTGGCATACTTCATCATGGACAAAAAATGTTTTTATTGTGTATGCGTCCATTTTTAATGCAGTAGATATAGGCTACAAGGATTTTTTTTTTGTTTGAAAAGTTTGGTGGCCCTGGGACCTCGTTCAGGGGCCGAAAGGCCGAAAAAGGCCCATCTGCGAAACCGCTTTTTACCGTAGGGGGCGGTAAAACTCCTAAGCGGTGAGCAGCCGGTAACAAGAAGTAGACGAATGAGAACGACCTCGTCTCAGTTGTCGCGCATGCGCCCATAAGGAAGTAATGGAATAGTGGAATAAAGTCGTTATTTATGTTTTTTTTTTCACACAAAAAGTAGTCTCGTCGCTTGATAAACTTATAATTGAGCCGCTGTAGACACATGGAATATTTAAACCTTTTCTTTAATGACTTTGGGCCGTCAAGAGCCAGTCCCTTAGGCAGTCTATTTAGGACTGATCTAGCTCTCAGATTCAATCAAAAATATCTTTATTTGTGTTCCGAAAATGAACGAAGGTCTTACTGGGTTGGTACAGCATGGGGGTGAGTAATTAATGACTTAATTTTCATTTTTGGGTGAACTAACCCTTTAATGTCTGTAACGTTTCATTTGCAAAAAATACAAATACCTGACCAGACATTTGTCCATTTCCTGGGAATAAAATAAAATATGTATATTCTGTCTGAATTTACTTCTGCAGAGACAACTCTCTCTCTCTCTCTCTCTCTCTCTCTCTCTCTCTCTCTCTCTCTCTCTCTCTTCTCTCTCTCTCTCTCTCTCTCTCTCCCTCTCTCTCACACACACACACACACACACACACAAGAGTTAATTAATTATTCATAAATGATTTGGATAGTGACAGTATGAACAATAAAAGTTACACTGTTGAGTGCAGTGCTTATGGGGGAGGGAGTGTAATAAAGTAAAGTGTAACAGAAAAGTGTGGTGTGGTAAAGGTTAAGAATTGTTTCTGGTGATTTTGTGTATTGAACTGTTACTATTTTTGTGCAGTGTTGTGCTTATGGGACTGGGGACGTAGAGGACCGAAGGAAGGATTAGAAATTATTTTTATTGAGGAACAGAATTTTTTCAAGTGTATTCGGGCTTAGACATTAAATATTATACAGCCATATAGTGAGGATTATTAGCTATAACAAGACAGTAAAATAATAATAAGCTCTTTCTTGCTGGCTCCATTACAAGAAAAAAGGATTAGGTCACAAAAAGCAAACAATTCCAAAGGGCAATCCAAATCAAAAACCAGTCCAGTCCAAATCCAAAGCAATTAAATTATCTTATCTAATTAATATAACAATACTATAATATAGCTATAATAATACTAACAATAAACTATAACTAATCTAACCTAATAATGTAATAATATACAGCCCTAATATGGGGCGCCGTTTGTAAAGCAACTCACTCTGAAAATAACAGCAACATTTTGTCACATTTAGCTCCAAACTATGTTTAAAAAACTGGTATGAATTTTTGACGGTCACTTTTTAGCACATTTAGGCCTACATCTATATTTGTCAACTTAGAGATATTTGAAATAGTTAAATATAAATATTAAATGTTACACTTAAATGTTAAATCTAAATGTTAAATCTAAATATTAAATCTAAATGTAAATGTCAAATCTAAATGTTAAATCTAAATATAAATGTTAAATCTAAATGTTAAGTCTAAATATAAATGTTAAATGTAAATGCTAAATCTAAATGTTAAATATAAATGTTAAATATAAATCTAAATGTTGAATCTAAATGTTTCGGGTTAAACTAAATATTTAGCTAATATGCTAATTGAAAATGCTGGTAATCGGAAGTGCCAAAATAAAAGGTCAAGGAGGTCAGTTTTTATATTGTCAAATAACGAATAAAAACCATCTCATCTGTGGAAGTTGACTCTTGGACATGGATTATTGCGATAATAACTACCTAAAATAATAATTCGTTTGACATTTTAGCCGAGCAGAAAGCAGCTCTGCTGGCCTTTTTGCAAGCGAACGTGACAGATCAGTCAAAGTGAGCCCCCTCGTGGCTGGCGATTATCACTACAAGGTCATTAGTCCCGCACCTTTTATAAAAGTAACACTAACCTCAAAGTAGCCTACTCTCCAAATACAGTTTCTCCAAACGAGTTTATTATTTTAGGTAGTTATTACGATAATCCATGTCCAAGAGTGCATTTCCCCGGATGAGATGGTTTTTATTTGACACTACAAACACATGCTGTGTCCGAAATCTCCACTCAAAGCACTACTCAGAGCACTATATAGTGAGCTCACCATCATAATAGTTGTAAGTGTAGAAAATGTTTTGTCTTTTATTTTGTAATTTACGTGCGTTTCCAGGTGTGACGGTCACATGGGTATTGGTGGGTATATACCTGATAGTGTTTCCTGTTTGGGGTGTGTGGAGAGGGGGTGAGTAGCGGGGAGTGCTCACTTTCTGTTGACCGTTTGCATGCATGATGCATGCAAAATGTTTAAATATCCCAAGTGACTACCGTGGCTCAACTATATGTTTATCAAGCGACGCGAATACTTTTTGTGCGAAAAAACAAACAAAAATAACGAGTTTATTCGACTATTTCTTTTCTTCCTTGTAGGCCAGAACGAGAATTCCTTAGATTTCCACGACGCATGCGCGAGATTTGCGATCTGCTTACACCAGCTTAGATCGCAATTCTCGCGCATGCGTCGTGGAAATCTATAAGGAAGTCTCGTTCTGGCCTACAAGGAAGAAAGAAATAGTCGAATAAACTCGTTATTTTTGTTTGTTTTTTCGCACAAAAAGTATTCGCGTCGCTTGATAAACATATAGTTGAGCCACGGTAGTCACTTGGGATATTTAAACATTTTCTTCATTGACTTTTTGGGCCGTGAAGAGGCAGTCCCTTAGGAGCCAATGTGGTAGTTATACAGCTCTCAAATTTAATCAAAAATATCTTCATTTGTGTTCCGAAGACGAACGAAGGTCTTACGGGGTTGGTACAGCATGGGGGTGAGTAATTAATGACTTAATTTTCATTTTTGGGTGAACTAACCCTTTAAGTTTCATGGACACACTTGAATTAATGTTTTGTTATTAGGTCTGAAAAATCCTTGTTGAGAGAACTTGTGTTTATACTGTGAATTGTGTCGCTTTTCCTAAACAGGTGCGAAGATGAGAAAGAAAATCAAAGAGACAATAGCATTAATTCTCACAGGTGTTGTGTGTCTCTTCATTTTTATGAACAAAAACGACACTGAAGACGACACGATGTCAAATAGCATAGACACATATAAGATGCTCCGTCAACAAATCCATTTGCCCAGATCCGACATTTTCCAGTTGTCTTCACCTTGTCAGCAGAATATGTCGGCTTATAATGTGACTGGATTTTCTACTCTGCCGGGTCATATCCAAGATTTTTTGCTTTACAGACACTGTAGGAATTTTCCCATGCTGCTCGACCTGCCTAATAAGTGTGGTGGACCCCTGAACTCAGATGTCTTCCTTCTGCTGGTCATCAAGAGTTCTCCAGAAAACTACGAGCGGAGAGAAGTCCTGCGGAAAACATGGGCTGAGGAACGACTGCACAAAGGTGTGTGGATCCGTAGAGTCTTCATAATCGGGACAACTAAAACTGGCTTTGAGAAGCGCAGGTTGAATAAGCTATTGAAGCTGGAGAACAATGAGAACAAAGGACATTTTACAGTGGGACTTCAAAGATTCATTCTTTAACCTCACACTGAAGCAGGTCCTTTTCTTAGAGTGGATGGACAGATGGTGCCCACAGGCTAGATTTCTCTTTAACGGGGACGATGACGTCTTTGCCAATACGTTTAACATGATTGAGTATCTTCAAGGTCAAGAGGACAATGATGGAAGTAAACATCTCTTTACCGGGCAGCTCATGAGTGGAGGGCCTGTAAGAGACTCTTCAAGTAAATACTTTGTCCCGGTGCAGGTTCAGGAGTCCAAGAGGTATCCTCCTTACTGTAGTGGAGGAGGCTTTGTTCTCTCAGGATTCACGGCCAGAACAATCTACAAAATGTCTCACTCTATAATTTTACTGCCCATTGATGATGTTTACATGGGCATGTGTTTGGAAAAGGCTGGCCTTAAACCTACATCCCACTTTGGTGTAAGATGCACTGGTCTGCATGTCCCTGCTGGGAACGTTGATAAATTTAACCCTTGCTTTTACAGAGAAATCATTTTAGTCCACAGATTTCTCCCACACATGATTTTTGTGATGTGGAATGAAATCCAAAACCCACATTTGCAATGTGGAAAGACAAATTACTCTCTTCAGGGAAGCCCATTAACAAAAGAGCGGGGTGTTTGATTCAATTAAAAAGGGAAACATAATAGCTTGCTGGAATTGATGTACAAGTTTGTTTTTAATGAATTAACTTTTTATCTACAGCATGTTTTACCATGTCACTTATCAAGAAAATGATTTGGTGTATTTTAGCTATTGCACTTTAACGGAAATAAAAATGGTGGTTGATTGATTCCTTTCTCAGCAGAAGACGTTGAAGTCTTTGTAGTCTTTCTGTCTGGACTAAAAAGAGTATTTTACATTGGATTACTTTATTCAGTTTCTGTAGTAGCCTACCACAGAAAAAAAAAACTACCCCAAAATGTCTCTTTATTTGTGTCTTTATTCTATTGTATTTATTTGTGCTACTTTTTTCAATTTAATTAAAAGATTAAAATCAAGCTTTTGCATAAACTCTTCTTAACAAAAAAATTACATAAACATTAGGTAAGATTAATGTAATAAAAAGGTCTAAATATTTCTATATTTATTTATCTATATCTCTCTTAAACATAAAATAACCTGACCCTGTTTGATCAAGCTGTGTGACTGTTCTGACTTTTTTGCATCTTGCATCAAAATCCTGTCTATTCATTGTATTTAGTGTATAGTGTACCTAAAATAAAAAGAGTTTTATATACAGGTTTGTGGCTCTTAATTTCTTTGTATTAATTAACCACTAGTTAACTTATGTCCTGTTCTTTATTTTATTTTTTTTAATATAGGATTTGTATTACATCATTATAGTCGAATCGAGAATCAAATCAGGAATCGAGAATCGAAATCGAAAATGAAAATCGAAACAATCTGCGAGCTTTCGAATCGAAATTGAACATATGAATCGATAGCCAGCCCTAAAATTGATGTCCCCGTGCCCACCAATTTCAAAATCAAACCTACGCCACTAGAGGTCACAAGGTAATACTTATCCCGTGCGAATAGGGCTTTAGTTTGCTTTGTTGTTTTATGCTCCAGAGATCCACTGAAGTAGGTGTCACTCACTCACTGAATCAATCAGAGCAGTTCACTTGAGTTTACTCTTACATAGGTTTCAGCAGCACCTCACCATTATCATCACCAGCTGTGCTGTTATTTATTAAATATTGTTTAGTACTGGAAGTATAATTTCTATCAGTCATTTATAAATTCAGTGGTATAAATCCATGTTGTTCAAGGAAACACAATAACATATAATTAGGCCAGATGAAAGCAAAACAAATAACCTGTCTGCAGTCACAGGGCAAAGCCCTTTCAAGGGTTCAATGAGTTGAAAAAAATAGCTAAAAATACTTTGGTTACTTTTTAGTTAAAAATTCTGGTAACACTTTACAATACAGGTGCACTAATGTGCATTAATTCATCCTTAACTAATGCACAGATAATCCTGAGTTAATGTATAACAAATGAAGAACTAAACCATTAATTGATGATTACTGCATCAGCAACTACGAAAGAGTCAATATGATTAATAGATTAAGTAATACATGAATTGCTATTAATTCAATGTGTCATTGTGTATTAATTCCTTAATAACATATTTTCTTAACTAATAGTGTAAATTAATGTGTGAATTATCACAATTAGTCAAAGCTATGCACTTCAACTTCCAGTTGTCTGCTTTAATCAATCATTAGCTAATGATTTGCAAAGGTATCATTTTGCTATGACTTTACTTGATGGGGCACATCATTATTAACTAGTCATTTAGTAATTGTATTAATTTGCACATGAATTTGCACTAACAATGAAGTAAGTAATCATGTATTAACGCAAATTAGTGTACCTGTCATATTACCTGGAATTTGAAATACAAGGCTTTGGCTCATTCTGGTAATTAACACTATTAGTTAAAAAAATGACTTATTATGGAATGAATCCACAATTACATATTTAATTAATAACAATTCATGTATGAACTAATACATTAACCTTACAGACTCTTAATTAGTTCCTAATGTGGTAATCATTAATGAATAGCTTAAATAATCATTAGTTACACATTAATTCAGTATTATCTGTGCATTAGTTAAGCATGAATTAATGCTTATTAATGCACAAGTATTGTAAAGTGTTACCAAAATTCTTAATTCTTTAAATTCTTAAAAAAAAATATATATATATATATGACTGAGGTAAAATGGTTCATGTCAAAATGGTTTAAACACACACTTCTGTAGCTAAGCATAATGTGTCACAGAACTTCTGTTTTGATATAAAAAGTAATATCCATGGTGAGAATTAATTTTTTAGACAGGATTTGTTACTTTCAAATGACAGAAAACAACAGTTTCAATAGAGACCCAAATAAAGTCATGAATGCTTTTTGGACATTTCACCACATTTCGCTAGGGATAAACCTATTTTTCATGAGATATTGAAGCCAAAAATTATCCTTAATTTTGATTTAATGTTTGCGGCAGCATGCAGACACAGGCAAGGTGGCTCGCGTCCCAATTGGCTGTCCTGCGGCAACTGCAGCAGCCTATCAAGAGAGGCCCTTGGACTGATTGGGATGCTAAGGGATGCTATTTAGTGCAGGTCTCGCAATGTAGGCTAAGTTGCGCAGTTGTAGCCTATAGCAGGGATTGCATAGGTCACAACTTGGCTGTATACAAACGAAGATAATAATCAAGTTCAAACGTCTTTATTAATCTAAAGTGAACATAATCAAAGCCAGAGATGGCAAACAAAACATAACCATAACATAGACGAGACCACACAACAGTCAAACAAGGTAATTAATCAAACACATCTGACCAGAATGACAAATCAAATTAACATCCATGACAACAAACTTACCAAGAAAGTGTAAGCTGAGCAAATTAACTCTGTTACAATGCACATGATTATGGTAAACAAAATATATCTCATTTCAGGTGATGAAGAAGCTTGACTCTGACCCATTCTGACTGCATGTGTGAAGTGTTGTCCATGCTCTGAGTGAAGCTAGGCGAATGACTAGCTGACATCATTTGGTGTGGTTTCATGAAGTGAATACCTGTCCTGTCTTTTAGGAGTGAAGACCATGTTTGAGACGTATGTTTTGTGATATCTGCAGGGTGTACTGTGGTGTGTCCTCTTTATTTTGTTGTTGTTTTGTGTCTTCTGCTCTCCTTTGGCTCCTTCCACTCCTCCACGCTAACAGGAAGCCTGATTGCTCCCCCAGCCGAACCTGCTAAGCAATCGAGAGGGAAGCAATGACCCTGTGTCAATGACCTTTTCTCAAAAGTGTGATCTGTGTCCTGCCTAGGCCAGTTTTTGAAGCTATTGTGCATGCCTGTGTTGTATTACTGTTTGCATTACTCTATAGTTTAAAAGTGGGGAGGTGGGTGCCATCCCTCTGTTTTCTCCTGGTTTGTGGCTAGATAGGGGAGTGAGTGTATTTCTGTTGTTGATTTGTTTATCTTTAGTTAAGGTTTACACACAAGGAAGTTGCCTACTCTTGAAACCATTCATTGTGTCATTTTGTACATTCACTCCAGAAACATCTGATGTATGTTTGACACAGCATGTGCTGACAGGATAATTCACTTTATATATAGTGCCATTAAAAGATACAAGAAAAAAAACTGGTTTGCCTTTTTATTGTACTTATATAAACACGGAAATTAAACGGCATTGAATACCAGCACTGCAAAATGAAACTATAACAATAAAAAGTGATGCCATAATTAAACTGAACCGCCTTAACTATACTAAACTGGTAATATACAAACTGTTATATGGTCTGAAGTTCAACTTACTAAACAGTAAAATACTACTGTAACTGGAAGAATGTTCTAAAATTACTCAATTATGTTTCAAATATACATACATGTTGAAAATACAGTGGTTGTTTAGGGTAACTCTGATTTTACCCCTTACATCCCTCTCTCTCATCTAACAGGATATTCTCAATCAAGCCCTGTAGAGTGGAGAAGCTCGGTCGGTCCTCGCTGTTGAACTCCCAACACTGCATCATAATATTGTGCACCTGAAAAAAAAAATAAAAAAATAAGAAAACAAACACTTTACAATAAAGCTTCATTTGTTAACATTAGTTGACTAGGGTTAGCGTCATGTTTAGTCTTATTGTGTTTTGGTTCATGTGCCCATGTGTCTTGTTTAGTTTCTGTTTCCTTAGATACTGATTCCTCCCTGGTTAGTTTCACCATATATACGTATAAATACACTCCATACATGTTTTGATGGCTGCAACACACTCCAAAAAAGTTGGGACAGGGGCATGTTTACACTTATGTCACATCACCTTTTCTTTAAATTACACTTTTTAATTTTTCAGGAATTGAGGATACTAATTGTTGCATTTTTGCAAGTTGAATTTTTGCCCAATGATACAATTCAACTCAAAAGTCTGTGGTTGACATCCATACTGGATGTCTCTGTACAATCCCAATACAGGCTACGTCTCCACGTCAATACCTTCACACACATGTGAGTCACCCATCCATGCCGTTTGCACTGATGCATTCCTATACCATGACAGATGTTTGCTTTTCCACCTGTCACTGATGACAGTCTGGATGGTCCTTTTCGTCTTCCAGGGACTAAGAACTCTAAAAAGTCAGTTTTTCCAAAAAACAAGCTGAAATGTGGACTCATCTGAGCATAGCACACATTTCCACTGTCTTTTGGATGATCTCAGAACTTGGCAGGATCTCTGCATTGAACAGATGTATAGCTTTCTCCTTGCGTGAGACTCAAGTGGCATTTCTTGATATGGCGGCAGACTGTTAAGTGAAAACGTTTTTCCAAAGAACTCCCGAGCCCATGTGGCTGTATTTAACACCGTAGCATGATGGTTTCTCATGCAGTGCCATCCAAATTCAATTTATTTGGTCAGTGGAAACATTGGAACTATTTTCTTTGTTACATTTGTCAGTTAAATAAAGGTTCAAGAGAACTGACAAATCAAAGATTCTTGATTTACAAAATGTTCAAACTTTTACGGAAATGGTGTAGTATATGTTTGTTGCTTGGACTTGCTGTCTATGTACAATGTATCAAAATTCTATTGGTTAACATGACCATAACAAATGTATTCAAATCTGTTTTTATTTGTACCTTTGGTGGACACTGATGTGGTTCCGGTAACCTCCAGTTATTCTTGAGAAGATTAAGAAAATGGATGGCCATGGATGAACTCTGGACATAACTTCCAATCTTCTGGATACACAACTGCATGAAATGATTTACAATAAAGCAGGTTTATAAAGTTAATACATTTAAAGATTTGGAACAACATTCAGCGAGTCTATGATGACAGAATTCATTTTTTTTTCATT